AGAAAGTCTCAATAAGGAAACAGAAAACATAAATAATAATCAAACACAAATTTTGAAAGTGAATAATACAACTGTGAGGAAAAAAGAGTAAAAACAGAATGGGCTCAAAAGCAAACTGAAGAACACAGAGGAAAGAATCAGTGGACTTAAAGACAGAACAATTAGTATTAGATCATCTGAAAAATGAAAATAGAAAATGGATTTTAAAAACAAACAGAGCCTCAGGTGTCAGTGGGACATTACAAAAACATCTGACATGCATGATATCAGAGTCCCAGAAAGAAGAGAAAGAAGGCAGGAATAAAAATAAGTACTCATAAAGTAATAGTTTAAAGCTTTTAAAATTCCATGAAAGACATAAAACTGATGCAAGATGCTGAGTGAAACCAAAACAGGATAAACCTAAAGAAAGCCATGGAAGACACATTGTATTCACATATCCAGAAACTAAATACACAGAAAATATCTTGAAAGCAAAGCATCTTACCATAAAGGAACAATAATTACAATAACAGCAAATTCCTTCAAAAAAAATGGGGAGGCTGACACTGCACTCCCAAGTTTACAGCAGCCCAATTCACCATAGCAAAAATATGGAATTAACCTAGATGCCCATCAACCGATGACTGGATAAAGAAAATGTGGTATATATACACAACAAAATATTACTCAACCATTAAAAAAAATGAAATCCTGACATTTGCAACAAAATCAGTGAAGCTGGAGGTCATTATGGTAAGTGACATAAGCCAGACACAGAATGGCAAATACCACATTTTATCTTACTGTGGAAGCTACTATATAGAAAGAGTATAAAAATGAAAATGATATGGATGTCATATTATTTAGTGTATATATAGTTATGTGTTTCTCCTCTGAGTTATGCCATCTACATGACAATATACCCTTCCTTTTTCATTTTATAACCACTGTCATGAATCCCATATTGTGTGATATTAATATCCCTGTATTCAAGAAAAATAATATATATGTGTACGCATAGAATATCTACATATGAAGCAAAAACAGCAGAAATGTTAAAAATTGCTAAATCTGGGGTTGCTGTTGTGGTGTAATTGGTTAAGTCACTGTCTCTGATGCCCGCATCCCATATGGGCACCAGTTTTAGTGCCAGCTACTCCACTTCAGGTCCAGCTCCCTGCTAATACACTTAGGAAAGCAGCAGAAGACTGGCTCCTCAAGTGGGAGACCTGGGTGAAGTTCCTGGCTCCTAATTTAGCCTGGCCCAGCAGCCATTTCGGGAGTAAACCAGTGGATAGAAGATCTCTTCCTCCCCCCACCCCCCGTAACTCTGCCTTTCAAATAAATAAACCTTTAAAACATTGTTACATCTTCTTTTTTTTTTTTTTTTTTTTGACAGGCAGAGTGGACAGTGAGAGAGAGAGACAGAGAGAAAAGTCTTCCTTTTTCCATTGGTTCACCCCCCAATGGCCACTGCGGCCAGCGCACCATGCTGCTGATCTGAAGCCAGGAGCCAGGTGCCATTCCTGGTCTCCCATGTGGGTGCAGGGCCCAAGGACCTGGGCCATCCTCCACTGCACTCCCGGGCCACAGTAGAGAACTGGCCTGGAAGGGGGGCAACCGGGACAGAATCCGGCGCCCCAACTGGGACTAGAACCCAGTGTGCCAGCGCTGCAAGTGGAAGATTAGCCTAGTGAGCTGCGGCGCCAGCCAAAACATTGTTACATCTTAAAATAAAGTTTTAAAATGCTTTGAAAAGTAAATAATGGGCCAGCGCCGCAGCTCACTAGGCTAATCCTCCGCCTTGCGGTGCTGGCACACTGGGTTCTACTCCTGGTTGGGGCACCGGATTCTGTCCCAGTTGCCCCTCTTCCAGGCCAGCTCTCTGCTGTGGCCAGGGAGTGCAGTGGAGGATGGCCCAAGTGCTTGGGCCCTGCACCCCATGGGAGACCAGGAGAAGCACCTGGCTCCTGCCATCGGATCAGCGCAGTGCCCTGGCCACAGCGCGCTGGCTGCGGCAGCCATTGGAGGGTGAACCAATGGCAAAAGGAAGACCTTTCTCTCTGTCTCTCTCTCTCACTGTCCACTCTGCCTGTCAAAAATAAAATAAAAATAAAAAGGTAAATAATGACATTTTTCAAGTGTTAAAAGAAATGCCATCCCAGAATTCTCTATTCAGTGAAAATATACTTCATCAAAAGAAGGGACATGAAAATGGTCTGGGACAAATGAAAACAGAGAATCTGTCACCAGCAGATTGATCCTAAAAGATGGATAAAGGAAATTCTCTAAACAGAAAGAACAAGGAAGGAATCTTGGAAGATCAGGAAGCAAGGAAGTATACAGGGAGAAAAAATATGAGTAAACAAATAAGCATTCCTCACTGATTTTACTAAATTATGCTTCATGGTTGAAGGAAGAATTAAACACATTTTTATGTGATTGTAAAGATGTTTAAAGAGAACACTTAAGGTAATTTTACTATAGAAAGGAAAGGTAAAAGTGTAGAAAGGGAAGCAGCCCAATATTTCACTGTAAGTGTTAAGAGGAAAACTCTTGTAGAAAGTGAGAAGTTATGTGTGTATAATGTAGTATCTGGAGGAAACACTAGCAAGCTAAGCACAGAGATTTATCCAAAAACACCATCGGTTTGGGTGTTTGGCACAGTGGTTAGGATGCCACTTGGAACACCCACACCCCATACCAGAGTACCTGGCTTAGAGTTACATATTTCAAAAGGTTCAATATACCAAGAAGTTGCAACATTTCTGAATGTGTATTTGTGTATACCAAACAACAGAACTGCAAAATATGTGAAGCAGAAATGATAAAGTAAAAGGGAAAATGGAAAAACCTATAATTACAGTTAGTGACTTCAACACCCCACTCCCAACAAACAACAGAAAAACTAGCAAAAAAAATCAGCAAGGATAGAAGAATCAACAACTTTATCAGTCAATAGCATCTAATCAATGTTTCTAGAACACCTCATCCAACTGCAGATTACATTTTTTATCAAATGCTCACAAAATATTCACAAAGTTACATCAGATTCCAGGCTCTAAAATCATCCCCAACCAATTTAAAAGAGTTAAAGTCACGAAGAGTATATTCTTCTGCCACAATGGAATCAAACTGGACATCAGTAACAGGAATAAAATGTGGAGAACATCAAAACACTTGGAAAATAAGCAACACAGTTGGAAATAATCCATAGATGAAAGACAAAGTTTCTAGGGAAATTTTTTAAAAATCTCCAAATTGCAAAATCAAAATTTGTGGTACACTGCTATAGCAGTGCTAAGAAGAAAATGTATATTACTAAATATACACATATATATATAAGAAAAGTAATTATACATAATTAATACAATAATATAGGCTCCCATCTCAAAAGCCTGAGGGGAGCAGAGCAAAATAAATCCAAAGAAGCAACAGGAATGCAAAAACCTCCACTCTCAGCAATCCTATTCAATACAGTCTTGGATTTCAATCTAGCATAAGACAAGAAAATAAAGCATACAGGTTGCAAAGGAAGAAACAAAACTGTCCCTATGTCCAGATGCCATAATTTTCTACATAGAAAATCTCAGGAAATCTACCCCTTGCCTCCAAAAATACTTTTTATACATTTTACCTGAATTTAGTAAGGTTGCAGGATACAAGGTCAATATACACAAAAAACCAACTGATTCTGAATGTACTATCAGTGAGCACATGAATACAATAATTTAAAATAAAGTATCATTAATTTTAAAAATGATAAACTTTAGTATGCTAAAAATCCACAAAATATTCACAAAATAAATCAAATAACATCTAATTAGAAAGATATCCTATGTTCATGATATAGTAACTATGTCAATTATCCCTAAATTGAGATACAAGCTTAATGCAATTGCAACTAAATTTATAAGAATCTTAGAGATAGGGGTGAGATTAGTCTATAATGTATATGAAAAGGCAAATAACTAGAATAACTAAAACAACTTTGAAGAAAAAGTGCAATAAATAAATCTGTCAGTTTAGGTGCTGTGGCATAGTACATTAAGTCTCCCTGCAGTGCCTGCATCCCATATGGGCACCAGTTCGAATCCCAGCTGCTCCACTTCTGATCCAGCTCCCTGCTGATGACCTAGGAAAACAGTAGAGGATAGGCCAGGTGCTTGGGTCCCTACACCCACATGGGAGACCCAGAGGAAGCTCCTGGCTTCTGCCTTCTGATCAGCCCAGCTCCACCCATGGCGATCATTTGCGGAGTGAACCAACAGATGGAGGACCTCTCTGTCTGTAACTCTGCCTCTCAAATAAATCTTTAAAAATAAATAAATAAATAGGAAGAAATAGCTTAAGAGATCTGTGTGATATTTGTAGATGGGTACACAAATAGACGATGAGAAGAGAATAGGGAACTAAAAAAACAAAGCAAAGATGTTCAACTTCTTTTGACAATAGTGAAGAGCAAGTCGACAGCAGAAAGGTAGACTTTTTACACTTGATCTCAGCAAAAAGGCCAAGAAGTGATAAAGGTAAGATTTTTAACAAATAGTCCTGGAGCAATAGGCTACCCAGAGGAAAACAATTAAACTCAACCTAAGTCTCACAGCTTGTTTAAAATGGAGCTCAAAATGAATCACAAACTTAAATATAAAATGACAAAATGTCCAGAAAACTATAAAGCAGTAAAGAATAAGGTAGGGGCCAGCGCCATGTCTCACTTGGTTAATCCTCTGCCTGCAGCACCGGCATCCTGTATGGGCTCCGGGTTCTAGTCCCGGTTGCTCCTCTTCCAGTCCAGCTCTCTTCTGTGGCCTGGGAGGGCAGTGGAGGATGGCCCAAGTGCTTGGGTGCCTGCACCCACATGGGAGACCAGGAGGAAGCACCTGGCTCCTGGCTTCGGATCAGTGCAGCGCCGGCCATAGCGGCCATTTGGGGGGTGAACCAAGCAGTGGAAGGAAGACCTTTCTCTCTGTCTCTCTCTCTCACTGTCTATAACTCTACCTGTCAAATAAATTTAAAAAAAATTTAAAAAAGAATGAGGTAAACACTTTAAGACATGTATTTACAAAGAACACAGATGACAAAGGACTATGTAGAAAATGTAAAAAACTCTCACAACTGAACACTAAAATAAGAATCCAGATAGAAAACATGCATTCCACCTAAGAAGTATGCAGTTGGGAAATAAGCCCATGATAATATCATTATCCATGAGGGAAATGCAAATAAAAACCACCTGGGACATCAGTATAGACCTATCAAATTGGCTCAAATAAAAATCACTTAAAATATGCAATGTTAGCAAGGATGTGGAGAAACTGAATCAACTCTACCTTGCTAATGAGACTATGAAATGGTACAGCTACATGGGCAACCAGCTTGGTAGTCTCTCAACACTAAATTAATAATAAATTAAATGTGAAAGTGCCAGAGGTTTTTATCCCTCAAAAATTAATTCCTACATTCATATAAAATACTTCATATCTATAGCAGCTTAATTTTTAATAGGCAAGAACTGGAATCAACCCTGATGGACCTTAGTGAGCAATACCAGACCATCCATCCCACGGATGTTAATACAAAGGATGGAACTATGGGTACGCACAGTGACCTATAGGAGCTATGGGTACGCACAGTGACCTATAGGAGCTATGGGTACGCACAGTGACCTATAAGAGCTATGGGAACGCACAGTGACCTATAGGAACTATGGGTATGCATGGTGACCTATAGGAACTATGGGTAAGCATGGTGAACTATAGGAACTATGGGTATGCATGGTGAACTATAGGAACTACGGGTATGCATGGTGACCTATAGGAACTATGGGTATGCATGGTGAACTATAGGAACTACGGGTATGCATGGTGACCTATAGGAACTATGGGTACACACGGTGACCTATAGGAACTGTGAGTATGCACAGTGACCTATAGGAACTATGGGTACACACAGTGACCTATAGGAACTATGAGTATGCACAGTGACTATAGGAGCTATGGATATGCACACTGACCTATAGGAACTATGGGTACGCACAGTGACCTATAGGAGCTATGGGTACGCACAGTGACCTATAAGAGCTATGGGTACGCACAGTGACCTATAGGAGCTATGGGTACGCACAGTGACCTATAGGAGCTATGGGTACACAGAGTGACCTATAAGAGCTATGGGAACGCACAGTGACCTATAGGAACTACGGGTATGCATGGTGAACTATAGGAACTACAGGTATGCATGGTGACCTATAGGAACTATGGGTACACACGGTGACCTATAGGAACTATGAGTATGCACAGTGACCTATAGGAACTATGGGTACACACAGTGACCTATAGGAACTATGAGTATGCACAGTGACTATAGGAGCTATGGATATGCACACTGACCTATAGGAACTATGGGTACACAGTGACCTACAGAAACTATGGGTACGCACGGTGACCTATAGGAACTATGGGTATGCACAGTGACCTATAGGAATCTCCAGAGAACCATGCTGACTGATAAAACCCAGTCCCCGGGGCACCTACTCTGTGTGACTGCACACAAATGACATTCAGGATGTGACAGTCATGGAGCCGTGGGACAGACTGGAGTCCTGTCAGAGGGAATGGGTGTGGCTCTATGAGGGTGACATGAAGTCTTGTGAGGTCCAAAACATTCTCTCCCTTGGCTGTGCCCATTGTGGTCTCCTGGCTTTGGAACTGTACTGTAACTCTGCAAGAGGCTGGTTCTGCAGGAGACTGGATACAGGGTCCAGGGACCCTCTCTGTACTGTGTCTCACCCCATTACATGAATTTATAGATACTGCAAAATAAACAGGAAAGTTTGACTTTAGAATTACTGAGTGAGGGAGAAGAGGCATGCTTCCGCACATTAAAAGTGTGAAAACTTTCTAGGGATAGTAAAGGAAAAGTCAGCCCACAAGTTCTGGTAGGACCCCTGCTGTCTTGGAGATTGGTGATCAGGAATTTAGAATGCGGCAATCTGCTCTGTTGTGTGAGCTTTCATTACCTGTGCTGCACTGTCTTGGTATAGAAATGGAGAAAACAGGTGGTGGGGTTTGTCCAGGACAGGGGCATGACAACAAGGTGCAAGAACAATAAGCAACCAAGGACAATTTTTCTCAAATCCCTCTCTGTTCTCTCCATGCTGCTTGGGCTCAGAATCCTGTTTGCATTTCTTATATGGGCTGAGTGTGTGCTCAGGGCCACACGGGTCCTTGGACTCTACCACACTGCACTGTCTGCCCTCAGCAACCAGAAACTAGCCTAGGCTCAGTCCTCCCGCCCTGCACTGCTACAGGTGCTGTGGTTAAGGATGAAGATGAAGGGGGTCACAGCGACCCGGGTTGCAATGTGGACTTAAGCAGGGAAAAGAGAATCTCCTAGTCTCTACCATCTGATTTCATGGTGTAGTGAGAACTAAATGATAAAACGCACACACACACACACACACACACACTCACACACAAATGAACACAGAGCCAATCATTGAGTCAGCCCCCAGTATCTATTGACCCAAAGGGCTTGAATCTGGCCCCAGCCCCACTGCCACACATCCCTCCTGGGTGGCCGTTCCCTGATTCAAGTTTTACAACCAGCATCTGCGTAAAACAAAGCCCTGGTTTATAGTGCCTGTGGATCTCCATGGTTTGTATGGCCTGTACAATGTACTAAAGTGACCACACATAAACACACCATAGGCTCTTGTGAGTTGTTAGGAGCAGGTTCCAGCACTGACACTAGAGCTACCCTGGGCCACAGGTTATGCCCTGCCTTGGCCCTTTCCTAAGAATTCCTTACTAGCCCATGCCCAAGAGGCCACCTGAACATGATCAGTTAGAAAGCTGCCCCCTTTTCTCTCCCAGGGATGACTCTGGGTAAAGGATGCAGTAGTGTCATCTCTAGACACAAGAGAATGCAACAATTCTGATGGACAGAGAAACACAACCTCAATTATAGCCAGGGGTCATCTCATTACTTGGATGGCCAACACTGCCCTCTGGGCTCTTTATACCACTTCTGTTTATCTCACAGTTGCTAGAAGCACCTGTCTGCAACTTTACTTCTCATAAGTAAGTTGCCCCGGGTCTTCTGTTTCTACTAAGACCAACATTTCCAAGAACAACAACCAGAAAAACTGCATAAAACAAAAGCATCTGGTTGCAAGTTATTTGGGAGCTACTGAAAGATCCAGGAGTTGAGGGCCACAGTCCTGTGGAGAATGGTGTGAGGTGCTTCCCACTGGCAGTAGCCACTTTGGTCTGCAGCAAGGAGCTGAGAAGCCAGCCAGAGAATGGACCAGAAGCCAAGGGAAGATCATTACCCAGGCAGAGCTTTCCACATATCACAGAACCAGGGGAACAAAAGGTGGAGTTTGGGCCAATGAAAACATCCAGATCTTCTTAATGGTGTATGTTTATTTATTTCAGGGAGCTGGGAGAACTCCCATCCATTGGCTTATTCACCAAATGTCCACAGCAGCCAAGGATGAAGCTGGGAACCAGTATCTCCATCCAAGTCTCCCTTGTGAATGGAAAAACAAATTATTTGAGCCATGATTGCTGCCTCCCTGGGTCTGCCTTGAACGGAAGCTGAATCCAGGAGCCAGAGCCAGCAATCAAAACTAGATACCATGACGTGGGATGTGGGCATCTGAGCCACTAGGCGAACTGCCAATTTCCAGCATCTAGACCTTGAGGGACCAAAATCCTGGAGAACAGCAGGTCACAGTAAAACACAAGCAGACCAGATGCCAGTTTTCCTACTACAACATTAGGTTAAAAAGACTAAGAAGTAGAGGGGAAGAAAGAATGGGAAAGAGGAGTGCAGGGTTTGGTCATTTTAGTAAGAGGCCGACTTAGGGTTCTGAGAATCAGCCATCAGGAGGCGTTGGTAAACGTCACTGATTTTCACTTGGGATCCCTGGAGGTCCACAGCCTAGGAGTGGAGACGAAGCCAGACTCTTCTAAGGAAGGAAATGCAGACTCGAGCCAGGTCCACCCCGAAAGATTGAGTTATGACCCTCATGCTATTTGCCTGGTCTATGATAGAGTGAATTATCTCTGGGCAATGAGATTATCATTCTGAGCCTTCATACTTTTTTAATACAATGTCCAACTTTCAATAAGATATTACCAGGCATGAAAATAAAATAACTCGCTGGCATCTAGTCCAGCACACTAAGGAGCTGGTAGATCATCAGTTCATATGCATAACAAGTAAAAAACACTGGACAAACTCAAAAAACAGAAAAACTCTTCCTAACCTGGTCGAAGAAAGAAGCTCACAGGGTAAATCACCCCGACCAAAATTATAAACAAAGCAGCAGGGGCAGAGAATCCCAACCTCCATTAGGGGCTCTGGAGAGGAGCGGGACAGGAAAAGTCTCCTCACTCTTCACGAGCTTACTTCCCAGAGTTCTACTATGTGGGCCATGAACATATTAATAATTTTAAATATTTATTTATTTATTTGAAAGTCGTGGTTAGAGAGGGAGAGACAGAGAGAAAGGTCTTCCACCTGCTGGTTCACTCCCCAGATGGCCAGAATGTCCAGGCCAGGGGCAAGGGCGAAGCCAGGAGCCTCAAACTCCATCCAGGTCTCCCATATGGGTGCAGCGGCCCAGGTACCGGGGCCATCCTCTGCTGCTTTCCCAGGGGCACTAGCAGGGAGCTGGACAGGAAGTGGAGCAGCCGAGACTCCAACCAGAACCCCAAATGTATTAATTTTGATGCAGGCTCTTGTCTACTTCCGAGACAGAAATACAAAACGCAGACCGGTCCCACGCACAAATAGGAACGGAGGTTACGTAGCACTCGGGAAACAAACACACATTCAGGCCCGAGTGTGGGCCGCCCCTCACAGAGAAATGCTCAACATGAGCGGGCCAAAGAACTGCCCGTGGGCAAGAGAGAAAAAAACGAAAATGGTACCTACAGTTGGGGTGTCCGTGCACGCGTCGGAGATAGAGAGCAGGAAAGCACCAAGGTGGACGGCTCTGCGCGGGGAAAAGCACGCACAAGCGGTCCCTGGCTCTGCGCGTGGAGCACTCCGCGCGTGGAGCGCTCCGCGGAGAAAAAGAGAAAACAGCAGCTTTCATCTGCGCTGGAGGTGCAGCTCCTTCCGGCTGGTGCGCCCTCCGATTGGCTCCAGGAACCTGTGGGGTGTGAGCATGCATCCAGGACCCGGATGTGACAGGTGCATTCTGGGAAGGCGGGTGTATCACACTGACAGTTAAAGACATAGCCTTCCACTGCAGGAGAGGAAAGAGTTCCAGGCCCCTAACCGCCGTGTTCTTCAAGTGAGTCTTGGAGGAAACTCCCCGAATGGGTTCTGGCATTGGGAGGGGGAAAGCAACCGTTTAAAACCCCACATAGCATTTTGTTCTTCACAAAGCCTAAGCTTTTGTGGGTTTTTTGTTTTTTCCCTCAGAGCCTAACTAACCTGGGGGAAAGGAAATATCCAGCTCTAGCTCCCCTCTCACCATACATATTTTTTTAATTATGTACTCGAGAGGCAGAGTTACAGAGAGACAGAGAGAGAGGTCTTCCATCCACTGGTTCACTCCCCACATGGCCGCAATGGCCAGAGCTGGGCCAGGCTGAAGCCAGGAGCCAGGAGCTTCTTCTGGGTCTCCCACGTGGGTGAAGGGGCCCAAGGACTTGGGCCATCTTCCACTGCTTTCCCAGGCCATCAGCAGGGAGCTGGATTGGAAGTGGAGCACATGGAACTCGAACCGTTGCCCATATGGGATGCTGGCAATGCAGACAGAGGCTCTACCTACTGCGCCATGGTACCACCCCCACTCCCCATATTTTTCCAACTGGGATGGCAGCATGGGAACTGAGAAGCATCTGTGAAGTCCAAAGTCCAGGAGCATAGGCTCAGGAGGAGATGGAACCTGACCATAGGACTGCAGAGGGTCTCCCTGTCCCCACACCTACAGCCACACTGTTAAATGCATGCTCATCTCATTCCCTTACTGAGTACATTTGGTCAGGTTTGCAACAGAAAAATCACAGGACATACTACCCGCTGAAAACACAGTTTGAAGAGACAGGGCAAGCTCTGGAATGAGATTGATGGATGTCAGGGATCTTGGAATTACCAGCCCAGGGACTTGAAACAACCAAGATAAATACACAAAAGTAGACATTGTAGGGGCTGGCATTGTGGCACATTGAGTAAAGCCACCACCTGCAACGCTGGTGTTCCATACTAGAGCACTGGTTTGAGCTCTGGCTGCTCTGCTTCCTTTTTTTTTGGTTGTGGTCGTGGTTGTTTTAAAAATTATATATTTGAAAAGCAGAATTACACAGAGAGATAGGGAGACAGAGAAAGAGAGTGAATCTTCCATCTGCTCATTCACTTCCCCAAACGGCCACAAAGGCTGGGGTGATCCCAACCAAAACCAGCAGCCAGAAACTCCATGCATGCCTCCCACATAGGTAACAGGGACCCAAGCACTTGGGCCACCATCTACTGCTTTCCTAGATGCATTAGCAGGGAGCTGGATTGGACACAAAGCAGCCAGTACTCAAACTTGTGCTCATATGGGATGTCAGAGTCTCAAGTGGCAGCTTAACCCGCCGTGTCACAATGTGAATCCCTGCTGCTCCACTTTTGATCTAACTTCCTGCCACCCACATGGGAAACCAGATGGAGTCCCTGGCTCCTGGCCTTAGCCTATTCCACCCCTGGGTATTACAGCCATTTGGAGAGTGACCCAGTGGATGAAGACTCTCTCTCTCTCTCTCTCTCTCTCTCTCTCTCCATCTTGCTTTGTCATTCTACCTTTCAAATACATAAATAAATGCATATTTTTAAAAGTTGATAACATGTATAAATAGGAGAAAGTAAGCAGAGAGATGACAATGTTGACAGTCTTGACAGAAACTGATGGGGACAAGACATAGGGTAGCAGAAATGAAGACTGCTTTTGATGAGATCATGGGTAACCTGGATGTAGCTGAGAAAAAGAGGCTGTGGCAACAGGAACTTCCAAAAGTGGAAAAAAAAAAAAAAAGACTGAAACAATGGAGCATAATATCCAGGAACTGTCAGACAACCACAAAAGGTGTAACAGATAGGTAATGGGGGGGAAATATACACAAAACAAAAGAGCTGTTTAGTGTTTAGAGCTGTCATGAAGAAGAACCTCCCTGAATTAATGTCAGACACCAAGCCACACAGCCAGGAAGTTCAAAGAATAAAGAAAAGGACAACATTCCCCCCCCCCAATCCAAAAGGCGGGCAACTAGAAGCATCATATTCCAATGCAGAAAATCAAAGATAAAGAACAAATCCTGAAGGAAGCCAGAGAGGAGAATGCAGAGGAGCAGAGATAAACATCGCATCTGACTGCGCTGCCTCGGAAGCCAAGCCATCCAGCCAAAGGGTGAATTATTTAAAGTGTTGAGAGAAAACAAACACCCAACTCAAATACCGTGCGCTACAGAATTACCCTTCAACAGTGAAGGAGAAATAAAACTTTCTCAGACAAAAAACAATTGGGAAATTTGTTGCCAGTAAACCTGCCTTGCATGAAATGTTAAAATAAGTTTTCAGAGAGAGGGAAGATGTTGTCAGACCTCAGACTACACAAACAAAGAAGGATCCTGGGAGAAGGAACAGGCAGAGGTAAAATAAACACTTTTCATTTTTCTTACTTGTAACTTGATCTAATGAGTAACAATTGATTCAAAATAATAAGAGCTACAATATTTTCAATGATTATAGCTTTTATAAATGGAAGGAATGACAACAGTGATACAAAGAATGGGAAGGAAGAAATAGGACTACTTTGTTATTATAAGGTATTTGCTCTATTTATGAAGTCTTTTATTTGGAAATGGACTGAATTAGTTGTAAATGTTTAAAACAATTATAGATTAAAAATGTATATGACAGATATAGATCAATGATGATGAAATGGAGAAAGATAGAGAAGCTTTATATTAATAAAAGAAAAAGGGAGAAACTACATTAATCTCAGGTTGTATAGATTTCAGAGCAAGGAAAATTATCAGGGATCAAGAGGGGCACTGGAAAGCAGGTAGACTTGAATTAAGAAATAGCGCTCCTTACTGTGTGTGCACCTAAAAACAAAACATCAAAATACGTGAAATGAAAACTGATAGAACTCCAAGGCATGAGTCCGCTGTTACATTTGGAACTTCAAAATCCCATTATCTATAAGGGCCAGGTCCTGCAGGTAGAAAATCAGGAAAATCAGCTGAACTCAACACCCCCATTAATCAACTGGATGTAGTTCACATGTATAGATTATTGCATCCAACCAAATCAGAACACACACTCTTCTCAAGTCTGGGGGACCATTCACCAACATAGCCCACTTGGGAAGACTTTTAAAAAAGTGGAAATCATACAATATTTGATTGCAGACCAAAATGGAACTGAAGTGTTAGTTGGTACCAAAAGATATCTGGTACATCCCCCAATACTTGAATTTCTTCCTGTATTGCATTATGGTCATAGAACATAATTTTCATGATGATAACTTTTTTAGAATGTACTGTTGCTTCCTTTGTATCCTAGTGCATGATCAATTTTGGGAATGTTAACATTTGTACTTGAAAAGTATATATATTTTCTGATAACCAAGGGTAAAATTCTATAAGTTAGTATGTTTTCCTCCTGAATAAATTATTCACATCTATATATCAAACTTACTTGGAGATTAAACAACTCATTTCTAAATAACATATAGATCAATGAAGAGATCAAAAGAAATATTTAGAAATATGTTTAACTGGGCTGGCGCTGTGGCTCACTAGGCTAATCCTCCGCCTTGTGGCACCAGCACACCAGGTTCTAGTCCCGGTTGGGGCACCAGATTCTGTCCCGGTTGCCCCTCTTCCAGGTCAGCTCTCTGCTGTGGCCAGGGAGTGCAGTGGAGGATGGCCCAAGTGCTTGGGTCCTGCACCCCATGGGAGACCAGGAGAAGTACCTGGCTCCTGCCATCGGATCAGCACGGTGCGCTGGCAGCAGCGCGCTGGCCGTGGAGGCCATTGGAGGGTGAACCAATGGCAAAAGGAAGACCTGTCTCTCTCTCTCACTGTCCACTCTGCCTGTCAAAAAAAAAAAAATATGTTTAACTAAATGGACTGAAAATGCAACTTTTCAGAATTTGCAACATGAATCAAAAGCACTGCTCTGAGAGAAATTGTTAGCATTGAATGACTACTTTAGAAAAAATGTTCATAAGTGAGTCATCAGTGCTTCCACATAAGGAAACAGGAAAAAGAACAACAAATTAAATCCAAAGCAAACAGAGGGAAAGAAATAACAAAAATTAAAGCAGTAATCAATGCATTCAAAAACAGAAGGTCAGGGCTGGTATTGTAGTGAAGCAGCTTTAGCCACCACCTGTGACATTGGCATCCCTATGGGCACCAGTTCAAGTCCTGGATGCTCCACTTCCAATCCAACTCTCTGCTGACACACCTGGGAAAAGCCCAAGATCTCTGGCCTCTGCACCCATGTGGGAGACCTGGATGAAGTTCCAGGCTCTATTTTGGCCTGACCCAGCCCTGGCCGTTGTGCCCATTTGGGAAGTGAACCAACTGATATAAGATATCTCTCTCTCTTTTTCCTCTTTCTGTAACTCTACCTTTCAAATAAATAATTTTTTTAAATAGCCAGGAATTCGTAAAGAATATCGGTGAAACAACAAATTTGTTCTTTGAAAGATGAATAAAATCAATAAGCCTCTATTAAGCTAACTAAGAAAAAAAGGAAGAAGGTAGAAATGACTAATATCAGAAATGAAAGAAGGTATACAACTAAAGATTTTATAGACATGGAAAACAAAATCAAAAGATACTATGAACAACTTTATGTAAACAAATTTGATAACCCTAGATGAAATAGATCAGATTCTTGGAAGACACAAATTTCAAGACTCACACAAGAAAAAGTAGACCTACATCTACTAAAGAATTTAAATTGAGGCTGGCATTTTGGCACAGTGGGTAAAGCCACCACCTGTGATGCCAGCATCCCATGTGGTCACCAGTTTGACTCCCAGCAGCTCCATTTCCAGCCCAGCTCCCTGCTAATATGCCTGGAAAAGCAATGTAAAATGGCCCCAAGTGATTGGGCCTCTGTACCCACTTGGGACCCCCAGAAGAAGCTCCAGGCTCCTGGCTTTGGATTGGCCCAGCTATAGCTATTGCAGACATTTGGGGAGTGAACAAGCTGATGGAAGATCTCTCTCTCTCTCTGTCTCTCCCACTCTTTGTAAGCTCTGCCTTTCAAAAATATAAGTAAATCTTTTGAAAATGGAATTTGAGTCAATAATCAATAAGCAGTCAATAGAAACAGATGTATCCCTCCCAAATATGTATAGGAAAATTACCCCAATACCTACAAGATCTTCCAGAAAACAGAAGCAAAGAAAATGCTCCCTTATTTATTCTAGTATGCCAGCATTATTCTGATACCAAAACCAAAGTCATTATAAGAAAATAAAACTGCAGACCAGTATTTCTCATGAACATAGATCCAAAAATCTTCAACAAAATATTAAGAATTTTAAAAAAGAGATTGATTTATTTGAAAGAGTTACAGAGAGAGGAGAGGGAGGGAGGGAGAGAGAACAGAAAAGAAAGAGGAGAGGAGAAGAAGGGAGAGATGAGGAGGGCAGAGGAGGAGAGGAGAGGAGGGGAGGGGAGAAGATCTACCTATGTCCATCAGTTCACTCTCCAAATGACTGCAATGGCTAGAGCTCAGCCAGGCTATTGCGGGCATTTGGGAGTGTGAACAAGAAGATGGGCTCCCTCTCTCTCTCTCTCTCTCTGTCTCTGTCTCATTCTGTCACTTTGCCTTTTAGATAAGCAAAAATAAATAAAATTTTAAAAATTTAACAATAAGGGTTGGGGTACTTCCAGTAATGCCAGCATCCCATATGAGGAACAGTTTGAGTCATGATTGCTCTGCTTCTAATCTGGCTCCCTGCTCATGCACCTGAGAAGCCAGCTGAAGGTGGTCCAAGTTCTTGGGCCCCTGCCACCATGTGGGCAACCCAGATGAAGTTCCATGCCCTTGGCTTTCTTCTGGCCCAGCCCTGACTGTTGCAGATATTTTGGGATTGAACCAACAAATGGATGATCCTTCTCTTCTCTTCTCTTCTCTTCTCTTCTCTTCTCTTCTCTTCTCTTCTCTTCTCTTCTCTTCTCTCTCTCTCTCTCTCTCTACCTTTCAAATAAATAAAATATGTCTTTACAAAATTTATAAAATAAAAATTCAACAATAAGAAATGAACAACCCAATTAATATGGGGCAGAATACCTGAAGACACCTCACCAAAGAAGATATAGGAGTGGCAGGCAAATAAGCATATGAAATGTCATTTTCTTCATCATACCTCATTAAAGAATTACAAACTAAAAAAGCATGATGGAACTGATGTTGAGGGGCAAGAGATCAAGCCACAGCTCATGATGCTGCATCCCACATCAGAGAATCAGCTCCAGTCCAGGTTGCTCCACTTCTGATCAAACTTCCCGATAAAGTGCCTGGAAAACAGCAAAAAAAAAAAAAAAAAAAATGGTCCAAGGGCTTGGGCGCTGCCATCTATGTGGGCCATCAGGATGGAGTTCCTGGCTCCTGGCTACAGCCTGACCTGGCCCTGGCTGTTACAGACATTTGGAGGGTGAACCAGCAGATGGAAGATACCTCCCCACTCCCCCACCCCATCACTCTGCCTTCCAAAGAAAGAAATCTTTGAAAAATAACAATAGCAGTATTGCATACCTCTTAGAATGACCAAAATACAAAGGCAGCAACAGCACCAAATATGGAGAAATAGGAACTTGGATCTGTTGACCACAGCCACAGCCACTTTGGAAGACAATCTGACACTCTGACCATTTCTGACAAAACAAACACAGCCATACAATCCAGTAATTGTGCTCCTTGGTATTTACCCAAATGAGGGAGAAATTCACACAAATAAGTCTGCACATGGATGTTCCAAGCAGCTTTATTCATAATTTCTGGAACTTGCAAGCATCAAGATGTTCTTCAGTGGGTGAAAGGATTAATGAGCTGTAGCACCTCCAGACAATGAGACATTATTCAGTGCTACAAAGAAATGAGCTATCAAGCCACAGGCAGATAAGGGAGAATCTTACACGCATATCGCTAAGTGGAGGAGGCTAGTCCTAAAGTGTTGTGACCTTTATGGCATTCTGAAAAAGGCAGAACTATGGAGACCAAAAAGAGAAGTGGTTTCCATGGGTTGGGAGTACCAGGAGGATATGAGGCTACGCAGCAACTCCTTATGATTCCCTAATGGGGGGGGAAGGGACATAGACCTTGCTGTGCTTTGAATGTGTCCCCTCCAGCATTTCAGATGTTGAGATTCAATGGCCAACGTGATGTAACTAAGACAGCCTTTAAGAGGTGACCAGATCATGAAACTCCCTACAGCTAGGAGTGGATTTAAGCCCATTTCAAAGAGGGTTTATGCAGCGTTTCGCTCTCTTGCCAGTCTGTCCTCTGCCGTGTGAAGATATATGGTCACTCTCCTCTGGAGGATGCGTCAGCAAGATGGCATCTTGGAAAGACAGCATGGCAGGGCCAGCACTATGGCATAGCAGGTAAACCCACCACCTGCAATGGCAGCATCCCTGATAGGTGCTGGTTCATGTCCCTGCTGCTCCCATGTGGGAGACCCAGATGAAGCTCCTGGCTCCTGGCTTTGGTCTGGCTCAGTCCTGGCTGTTGCAGCCGTCTGGGGAGTGAACCAGCAGATGGAAGATCTCTCTCTCTCTCTCTCTCTCTCTCTCTCTCCTTTCTATCTCTCTGATTTGCAAATTAAAAAAAATCATTAAAAAAAAGGAAAGAGTATGGCTCTCAGCAGACAACAGAGCATTCTAATGCAATAAATTTCTGTTCAGTTATTTTTGAATAGCAGTACAAACTAAGGCACATGTCATTATACACATTATACATTTGTGAAATCACAGCAGGTCCAACACCAAGAGTGAAAGCTTTCTTTTTTTTTTTTTAGATTTATTTATTTATTTGAAAGTCAGAGTTACACAGAAAAAGAGAGGCAGAGAGAGAGAGAGGAGAGGTATGTCTTCCATCTGCTGGTTTACTTCCCAATTGGCTGCAATGGCCCGAGCTGTGCTAATCCAAAGCCAGGTGCCAAGAGTTTCTTCTGGGTCTCCCACACAGGTGCAGGGGCCCAAGGACATGGGCCATCTTCTGCTGTTTTCCCAGGCCATAGCAGAGAGCTGGATCAGAAGTGGAGCAGCTGGGACTCGAACTAGCGCCCATATGGGATGCCAGCACTGCAAGCGGTGGCGGCTTTACCAATACGCCCCAGCGCCAGCCCCACAAGAGTGAAACCTTATGTGAGGAGGCATCACTGTGTGCTCGTCAACTCTCACCATGTACTACCCCATGCTGAATGCTGACACCTGCAGAGGCTACGCATACATGGGACAGTGGACAGATGGACATTCTCTGTCATTTTGTTGTGAATCTCAAAGTGCTCTCAAATGTTGTTCATAGTTTGGCAAGGATGAATATTATGAAATGTGGACATTAAAATAATATAAAACAAAATAGAAACATAACCGATATGAAAATGGTCCTGTGGGTGATTTGAGCATTGGACAAAGAAAAAAACAAAGATATGATCAGTGTGTAAAAGGAAAATACATTGAATCAAGTAGATTTTTTAAAAATGAAAAATATGATGGAGATCCTAAGGGATCTAAAGACCCACAGTTTTTTTTTTTTTTAAAGATTTATTTATTTATTTGAAAGAGTTACAGAGAGAGGCAGAGAGAGAGAGATAGAGAGGTCTTCCATCTGCTGGTTCACTCCCCAATTGGGCGTAACAGCCAGTGCTGTGCCAATCCAAAGCCAGGAGCCAGGAGCTTCTTCCAGGTCTCCCAGGAGGGTGTAGGGGCCCAAGGATATGGGTCTGCTGTCCCAGGCCATAGCAGACAGCTGGATTGGAAGTGGAACTGCAGGGTCTCCAACCTGCGCCCATATTGGATGCCAGCACTTCAGGCCAGGATGTTAACATGCTGTGCCACAGCGCCAGCCCCAAGACCACAGTTTTTTAAAAAAATTCTAAATACACATAGATACATAAAAGGGAATGAAAGGGAGAGTGGCTAAAATTTTACCAAATCTGACAAAGGACAACAACTCATGGATTCAGCAATTCTAAAAACCCAAGCATGAGAAATTCAAACAAGCCTACAACTAAAGGTGCTGTAGTAGAACTTCTGAAAACCAAAGACCAAAGGAAACCAAAAATCAGCCAGAGGGCAGGAAAGCATGTATCATTCAAAGGCAAAACACTAGAGTTAAGAAGTAACTTCAGCAGGAGAGCTGGAGGCCAGAAAAAAAGGAGAAAGTGCTGGCCTAGAATGCTTTGTCCCTTAGAGAGGGAAAAACAGTGTGCAGACAGGAGGGACTTGAAAAAGCTTCTGAGGAAATTGAATTAAAACAGAAGTTTAGGGGCCTGCACCTTGGCTCACTTGGTTAATCCTCGGCCTGTGGCGCCAGCATTCCATTTGGGCACCGGGTTCTAGTCCCGGTTGCTCCTCTTCCAGTCTAGCTCTCTGCTGTGGCCCGGGATGGCAGTAAAGGATGGCCCAAGTGCTTGGGCCCTGTATCTGCATGGGAGACCAGGAGGAAGCACCTGGCTCCTGGCTTCAGATGGGTGCAGCGTGCCGGCCATAGCGGCCATTTGGGGGTGAACCAATGGAAGGAAGACTTTTCTCTCTGTCTCTCTCCCTCTCACTAACTCTGCTTGTCAAGTAAAAAAAAGAAAAAAAAAAGAAGTCAGAAGTTTATAGGGGCTGGCACAGTAGGTTAATCTTCTGCCTGTGGTGCTGGCATCCCATATAGAATGTTGTTTGTGTTTCAGCTGGATCCAGCTCCCTGCTGTTGGCCTGGAAAAGCAGTGGAAGTGTTTGGGTCCTTGCACCCATGTGGGAGACCCAGAAGAAGCTCCTGGCTCCTGGTTTTGGATCAGCCCAGCTCTGGCCATTGCAGCCATTTGGGGAGTGACCTGGCAGATGGAAGACCTTTGTCTCTGTCTCTCCTTCTCTCTGTCTGTGACTCTACCTCTCAAATAAATAAATCTTTAAAGAAAAGAGAGATAAGTTATTTGGATGCAAAAGTTTTTTATGTATGGCTTCTTTGCAATCCATGTTTCTTCATGGTACGGTTTTCCATGACGGTTTTGAAGACCCTCATATGTGTTTGGTCTTCCTCCAAAAAGTCAGGGTGATGTTTATCACTGGGAGAACAAATGTGAAAGGAAGTCCTAACAGGATTCTTCTGGTAGGAAAAAGAATTCCCAGAAAGAAAGAGAGAGGAAAAAATAGAGACACAGAAAAAATAAATATAAGGATAAGCACAAATGATTACTGACTGCAGATAACCACAGCAATGGTTAGGCAGGAAGTTGGAAATTAGCTGTGTGTTTGAGAAGGGCCTAAGGAAACTGACATCTACAGCAGCCCAGCATCTGCACCTGCATCTGCATTTCGAAGTCACCCTGGGAACCTTCCAGGTGCAGGCCAGCACTTAGCACTTCAAAGTCCTGCCCAGATCCTGATGACCATCCAGGGGGTCCAGCCCCTTCCACCTGGCCTAATAAATATCTTTCCTCTAAGGTGGGCACCCTAGAGAGAAGCCCCTTGACCCATGCCAGCCAGGCTTCCTCTGTCTGACAACCTCAGCAGAAAACTTGGAAAGGAATTTATCTTATTTTCACCCTTTGTTCTGGAGGAGAAGAAGGGGGCTGGGGAGAAAAGGCAGGAAGGCAAGACCTATCCCCTTAAAGATCCCAGGAAATGTAAGCTGGGCACTCTCTCAGGTTCTGTCTGCAGAGTCGCCTGTCCATTCTTGTGGTTGTCCTACCCTAATAAACCTTGCCACTTTGCTTTTCACTGCTGTCTCACACCTGAATTCTTTCTTGCATGAAGACAAGGACCATGGCTTTTTCTCCGGTGATAACTCCTTGTTTTGTTGACAAGGTATGTAGAATTAGAATAATAGGAGTGGGCTCTTAGCATAGCAGGTTAAATGTCCAGGTTTTATGTGACAGTACCTAGGCTTGTGTTCAGATCACCCAGATAGAAAGCACCAGGAGACTCACCAAAATGCAAAGAACAAAGGGACTTTGTTTATAGGTCCAGCATGCTGGGGCCTGGCCTTCTATGCAATGCAGTGCTGGGACACCAAGACCCCCTTCTCTTTGTTCCCCAGGGTTTTTATAGTCCATGGGCAAACAAGTATTATGTCCACATTCCTTCTTTCCCCTGGTCCTGCTGGACCAAGGACAGCCCACCTCATTGGTTGCTCCCACCTGGCCCTACCAGACCAAGGACTGCCCAGTGTCAGGTTTCATCTTCAAGGAAGCATCCTGGGCCTAGCCAGTTCCTTTGTCTTGAGAGAAGCCTGTCATGGCCTGCCTCTGGCCTCTCACAGGCTCAAAATACCTGGCTCCAGAAACAGCTGTGTGCTGATGCTTGGGTGATTGTGTTCCGGCCATCCACAAGGAGACCTGGATTAACTTCCTGCTTCCTGTCTTTGGCCCCAGTCTTGTGGACAATTTGGAGAGTGAACCAGTGGATGACAGCTCTGTCTCTCTATTTATTCTCCTTTTCTCCCTCTCTCTGCTTCTCAATAAATAAATAACATTTTAAAAATTCAATGCAGATTTCAATCAAAATCTCAAAGGGACTTTTATGGCAAATAAGATGGTGATCAAATTTGTGTGTAAATGCAAAGAATCAACTGAGACCACCAGATGTCAGGCTGATTATGAAACTACAGTACCTAAGGCAATGCAATATTAGCATAAAAATAGACAAACAGGTCAGCAGAGCATGACACAAAAACAGGTTAGCACTGAGATCTCTTGATTTATGGTAAATCTGACACTGAAACATAATGAGAAACTTTTTTTTCTGTGAATTGTCCTGAAAAAAATCAAATATCAATTTTAAGAGTATTGTAACCTGTAGCTCACCTCATGTTCAAAAGTCCATTCTAGGAAGCCTGCAGATGTCATCCTAAAGGAAAAAGATCAATAGCAATAAAGCATCCCGGGGAAAATCCCCTGGGGGAGTTTCTGTCCGGCCTAGGTGAGGCCAAGCTTTAAGCAACAGGACACACCCAGCATTGAAGATAACAGAAACTCTGGGACTGAGAGTTAAATTCACAAACTCTGCTCATCAGACACCTGAGACCCAGTGCATAGGCAAGCTATGGTGTGGAGGACAAGAGACATCTTACCAAAGTGAGATCCAGCAATCGCGTGTAAATGGCTCCATCTCGTTAATCATCAGTAAATGCAAATCCAGCCCACAATTAGGTGTACCACATTAACGCAAGAATGGGGAACATTAAAATATATGACAGCACCAGCATTAGTGCACATGCAAAACAGCTGCAGCTCTCACGTGCATAAATCAGGACAGCTGTGCCCGAAAGCCTTTTAGCAGCATCTACATGAGTCTGACCACCTGCACACCTGGACCCCAGGAAGTCCATAGGAAGGCATACGTAACTTAACCCCATTCATGTCCACTGTGTGTGATAGCCCCAAATGTAAACAGATCAAAAGTCTATGCACAGTGGAATGCATAAGCCATGGTGTATTCACACAGTGGAATTCTCTCCAGCAATGAAAATTAACTTTATGCAGAAATGTAGATAAATTTTCTAAAACCAATGTTTGGGGCTGGCGCCATGGCTCAATAGGCTAATCCTCCACCTTGTGGCGCCGGCACACCGGGTTCTAGTCCCGGTCGGGGTGCTGGATTCTGTCCCGGTTGCCCCTCTTCCAGGCCAGCTCTCTGCTATGGCCTGGGAGTGCAGTGGAAGATGGCCCAAGTGCTTGGGCCCTGCACCTGCATGGGAGACCAGGAGAAGCACCTGGCTCCTGGCTTCGGATCAGCACGATGAGCCAGCTGCGGCAGCCATTGGAGGGTGAACCAACGGCAAAAGGAAGACCTCTCTCTCTCTCTCTCTCTCTCTCACTGTCCACTCTGCCTGTCAAAAATAAAATAAAATAAAATAAAATAAAATAAAATAAAATAAAAACCAATGTTTGAATGAAAATAGCCAGACAAAAAAAATTGATTCCATTTATGTATGATATATATATATATTCTAAAAGTTTCATTAAAAATTTTCAGTTAACTTATTTAAGACACAGAGAGAGAGATAGGGAGCAAGCTCCCATTTGCTGGTTCACTCCCCAAATGCCTGCAATGACCAGCACTGGGCCAGGCTAATGTTAGCAGCAAGAACAGTATCCAGGTCTCCCATATAGGAGGAAGAATCTGATTCAGATTCAGCTGTCAGAGCTGTTTGCCAGGGTTCTTTAACAGGAAGCTGGAATCAGAAGCTGGAGTTAGGGATTGAAACCAGGTGCTCTGATATAGAATGTGAGAGTCCTGGCTGGCATCTTAATGGCTAGGCCAAATGCCCGCCCATCAATCAATGATGTTGAAACTGAAAGTAGTGATTCCCTTGAGAGTTCTGGAGCTGTCAACCTAGGAGGTGCACAAGAGGGGCCTCGGGGAGGCTGTTAATATTTTTTTAAGATTTATTTATTTGAAACACAAGCTACAAAGAGGGTGGGAGAGAGAGAAATCTTCCATCTGGTTCACTCCCCAGATGGCTGTAACAGCCAGGTCTGATCCAGGAACTCCATCTGGGTCTCCCCTCCCACTGGGTGGCAGGGGCCTAATACGCTGGGCCATCTTTCTTTGCCTTCCAAGGCACAGGAGCAGAAAGCTGAATCAGCTGTGGAGCAGCCGGCACTTGAACCAGCACTCCAATATGGGATGCTGGTGTCGCAAGCAGTGACACGGTGCCCTATTTATGCTTTAATTGGCTGGGACCACACGAGAACAGTCTCACTGTTGCAATGAATTGAGCTGTATATTTACTTGCACATCTGTTTGCACATGTGGTGTGTACATGTTTGCAAATGTATGTATATATACTTTTTAAAAATATTTATTTTATTTGAAAGAGTTACACACAGAGAGAAGGAGAGGCAGGGGGGAGGGTCTTTCATTTGCTGGTTCACTCCCCAGTTGACCTCAACAGCTGTAGCTGTGCTGATCAGAAGCCAGGAGCCAGGAGCTTCTTCCTGGTCTCCCATGCGGTGCAAGGGCCCAAAGATGTGGATCATCTTCTACTGCTTTCCCAGGCCATAGCAGAGAGCTGGATCAGAAGTGGAGTAGCCAGGACTCGAACCCCTGCCCATATGGGATGCCGGCACTGAAGGCAGCAGTTTTATCTCCTAAGCCACAGCGCTGGCCCCAGTGTGTGTGTGTGTGTATATATATATATATATATATATATATATATAATTCCATTTTAAAACTGTGGCCTATGTGGTGGTATTTCCTGTCCTGATCATAGTTATCACTGAGCACTTGCATGTGCCAGTCACCGATGGTGACACTTGGTGCCTTATTCTGAGTTTTCTTGGCTCATCCTCTGAGACAGAGTTGCTCCTCTCACTGTGTGGATTTCATGGAAGTGGACGCTGATGCTCAGAAGAGGTAAGTGACTGACTCAGGATCCCAGAACTAGAAAACAGCAAAGCCTGGCTTCCTGTTACCAGTCTTGTGGGTTTTTTTCCTCAGCATAGTATAGAAATAAAAAGCTGGGAAATAATTTGCAAAGGGGCAGAGACTTTTATTAGACAGAAAAGAAATTTTTATTTGATTGGCAGGCGACAGAGAAAGTGTCTGGTCTGAGAGGGACACTGGCTTTGAGGAAGTGTCCTGGATTTTTAAGGCATTACTGTTTTTTTCCATTGGGTCATTCTGTGAGGGTGCCCATTGGACAGGGGTTTCACATACTGTATGTGGATTGGCTTGGGGCTCATGGAGATAGCAGGGTCCCATGGAGACAGCCCGTCTCCTTAGGGGCCCAGCCACCTTCTCTGCTAGCTGTGGGTGGAAGACTGTGACTAACTTGAAGGCGTGATTTAAAACCACCAGAGTCACATAAGATAGCCGGGATCTCCTGCAGCCAGTCTGAGTCTCTCCAGGGGCTCAGCCCCTTCCCCTGCCAGCTCTGGGTGAAAGATTGCACCCACCCTGAAGCTGTGATTTAA